CGAACAAAAGAGAAGAAAGAATTCAGCCCTCGTGATACATCACGAATAAAAGATAAAAACCAATATAAAAAGGCGCCATGATACAGCCGTACAGAGCACGTGCTAAGAACAAGCAACTAGTAGGGTGCCTTCATGTGCGCTTTGCTTGGGGTGATGACATCTGGCCATTTTGTTTCGAACGTTTATTTTTATTTTTTGTTCTGAAGCGCGTGAAAGAGCGTGTCCCTGCACGCGCTCGTGGCGCTGACTGTGTTACGGCGACATTTTGTTTCCTGCGATTTCTTGGTATTTTTCCTGTGAGCGCGTGCTGTCGGCATCGGGTACTACAAACGATGGCATCACCCTAAACAGAAGGGCATTGAGGCACACTAGCAACTAGGGAACAAGAAAATTCATCTCTTTGCCTGATAGGGCCACAAAGGACTGCTTACACATGCTGCGTCCAACCATGCTATCTCAACCGCCTTCAAAATGTCCCAAGTAAGCTGGTCCCTATGACACTTAACAACCTCACACCGTAGGAAGTCGGGTAGGCAACCACAGTCGCGGCAATCAATGCCCAGATGACCAGACACGGTTGTGGAGACACTTTAAGCGTGCTCTCTTAACCTGTCATTGAGACAGCGGCCCGCCTGGCGTACGTAGCGCTTGACACACGTCAGAGGGAGAGAATAAACCACCCCCTCAGAGCACGAGACGAAGCGATCTCGGTGCCTCGTATTGCAAGCCGTGGCCGCCCTCCAAGAGGGGTTAACAACTCTGCACAACCTTGAAAGCTTGTCCGGAGCAGATAATAAAACGTCGAAGTCACACCTGCCCGCAATGCGTTTTAGGTTGTGGGCCAAGCCGTGTATGTAGGGAATGACTACAAACTTTCTTCCTTCCGTTTCCTTTCTGTTATTGGCCTCGTCTTCACTCGCCATGGGCCTGCTCTTGATATCTTTCAGAAAAGACTCGGCGACCATGGTTAACACGTGGGAGGGAAAACCAGCATCTGCGAGGCGTTCAGTTTGCCTGTCAAAGCTATGTTTAATTTTATGATAACAAGACCTACGCAGCGCATGTGTATAGCAAGTCCTCGCAATCGCCCGCTTGACAATTTTTGAGTGAGCGGACTCGAATGGTTTTCCAGCACGGGGCTCATAGCTGCATTAAACATGGCCTGGACAAATAGTTGAATTCAAATCCAAGAATCGGATACATACTGCTTCAGGCACCTCATGAGTCAGACCAAGTGGCGAAAGGCAATCCCTAAAAATGCCTAAAACTTGAGTCATTAGAGAGTTTTAGAATAACGTATGCAATTTTAGCGCATGCTAGCGCTAAATTTAGCGCTCCCATTAGCGCACGCGACGCGAGAGAGTTTTAGAATAGCGTTTCTCCGGCGCGACGCAAAAGCCCAAGCATCTCGCGCTTGCGACGCCACCAAGATACAGTCACAATTTTTATTTCACACACGAAGTGGTGTAACTTTAGAAAAAAAAAACAAGATTTTGGTTCGGAGAAACGTTTTACATTTGTCTTATCATGAGAATGCGAAGCGAGCGGTTGACCGGTCGTGTCCGCTTGCCTCGCCACGGCAAAGGAAATGTTCGCGCGTCGCAAGCATCAAGTTGCCGGTGATCGTTGCCAAACCGAGTACAATGTCGTCCCGTATTTTCACAGTCGCGAGGATGCCGCCGACGTCGCACTCATGAAGCCGCCAAAGCGGCCGCAGCCATGGTCCTGGGAGCCGCCATTTTTTTAACTGTGCTCGTCTTGGCTTTAGCCAACTTCTCATCACGAATCCTCGTTGGAGAAGCGCAAAAACTTTTTGCGTACGCACGCCATTTCCGAGAAATAGCTCACGCTAAAATTGCGCACGTAAAGCGCAAAAGCTGGTTTGGGTTCGGAGCATGCGCAGTGGCGACAACGCTATTCTTTCCGTACGCAAAACTTTAGCGTGCGCTATTCTAAAACTCCCTATTGACGAAAGAAAGGATAAGGCATCGGCACTTAACAAAACCAGAAAATCATCAACATACGGAAGAGCTTTGCAACTTTGGTTTCCCCAAACCGTTCAAAGATGGTGCGATCAAGGCTCGCTAAAAACAAGTCGCTAACCACGGGGGCAAGGCAAGAACCAATTCGCAAAGGTCGACCTCAGATACTTGCCAAGGAGCTTCATGAAGCCTTCAACTAAAAGTATTGCATTTTTGCAATGCCCCCGTGCTTAGCGACTTGTTTTTAGCGAGCTTTGACCGCACCATCTTTGAACGACTTCGGGAAACCAAAGTTGCGAAGGTCTTCCGGTATGTAGATGATTTTCTACTTTTGTTAGGTGCCGATGGCTTATCCTTCTTTCATCAATCACTAAAGTTTTAGGAATTTTAGTCGTTGCCTTTCGCCACTTATTCTGACTCATGAGGTTCCTGAGGCAGGATGTATCCGATTCTTGTATTTGAATTTAACTATTTGTCCAGGCCATGTTTATTGGAGCTATGAACCCCGTGCTAGAAAACCACCGTTGCCTATTCGATTCCGCTCACTCAAAAATTGTCAAGCGGGCGATTGCGAGGACTTGCTATACACATATGCGCTGCGTAGGTCTTATCATAAAATTAAACATTGCTTTGACGGGCAAACTGAACGCCTCACAGATGCTGGTTTTCCCTCCCACGTGTTAACGACGGTCGCCGAGTCTGTGCTGAAAACTATCGAGATCAAGCCTATGACAAGTGAAGACGAGGCCAACCACAGAAAAAGAACGGAAAGAAGAAAGTTTGTAGTCATTCCCAAAATACACGGCTTGGCCCACAACCTAAAACGCATTGCGGGCAGGTGTGACTTCGACACTTTATTATCTGCTCCGGACAAGTTTTCAAGGTTGTGGAAAGTTGTTAACCCTTCTTGGAGGGCGGCCACGGCTTGCAGTACGAGGCACCGAAATCGCTTCGTCTCGTGTTCTGAGGGGGTGGTTTAGTTTCTCCCTCTGACGTGTGTCAAGCGCTACGTACGCCAGGCGGGCCGCTGTCTCAATGACAGTTTAAGAGAGCACGCCTACACTGTCTCCACAACCGTGTCTGGTCATCTGGGCATTCATTGCTGCGAGATTAGTTGCCTACCCGACTTCCAACGGCGTGAGGTTGTTAAGCGTCATAGGGACCAGCTTACTCGTGAAATTCTGGAGGCTCTTGAGATAGCGAGGCTGGGCGCAGCATGTGTAACCAGTCCTTCTGCGGCCCTATCAGGCAAAGAGATGAATTTTCTAATTCCCTGACTTGCTCGTTCTTTTAAGGATTGCTCTTTACGGCTGTGTCATGGCGCCTTTTTATTTTTTGTTGGCGTTGTTTCACCTGGGCTGAGTTCTTTCTTCTCTTTTGTTTGTGACAACGCAAGTCTATATTGCGATTTTGCAATCAATAAACTCAGTTGCAAGTCAACGCTGCGTCCGTGTTACCTCTTTGCCTGGTCCGCTTCTTTTTGTGCTGTTTTTAATTAAGAACTGGCTTTTCGCGTGCGAGACAGGCACAATAAATGTTAGGCCACGCGCGCGCTCCCTACTTGGCCAGCTGCGCGCGTGGCTTAACGGTTATTGTGCCTGTCTCCCACGCGAAAAGCCAGTTCTTAATTAAAAACAGCACGAAAAGAAGCGGACCAGGCAAAGAGGTAACACGGACGCAGCGCTCCGCGCGCGCAATATGTTCATGTACAAACGAACGTTCGCACACAACTAAATAGGGCGACCGGTGACCGAGATGAGGTAGCCCACCTCAGCTCTGGGAGCACGTGCAGCAAAAACTCGTGCTGCAGAAATCATGGATCCTAGGTTCAATTCGCACCCATGTCTGTTTCGATTTATATGAGCATCGTACCGACGTGCAATGGTGTATCAATACTGTGTGGTACACATTAAAGACCCCAAGCAAGCCTTTCTACCGCACGGACGAAATTACTTATCTAGAGCTGAGACACCGGACACCCATTAAGTATGACTAACTTCCGGCTGTATGAACACAGATACAACTTAATTACTACTACTTCTATAAAATATAATGTGCTCACATGTTATGACCTACGTAATGGATCGCGGAAATTCGCATGCGACAGGAGTTAAGAATGCGGACCTTTCACGAAATGCATTCCGTTTTTGTGTTGCGCGAATGTGTGCGCGCGTGTGCATTGGCCTATTCGTAGCACTTGCGTTAGCCAGTCCTTCGATGTTTGCCTGACGGTATAAACACAAACATTAAAATTAGAGCAGGTATTGGGCAGGAGATCGAACTCTAGGGAATGCTTTATCAAGCTGGTTCTCCCTACAGCCCGATGTTTACTAACATAGCATAACAAAGCAATTGAACCTTCCCTAGCACGGTTTGGGTACGAGCGCACTGATCTGAGCAGTGCTATGGTCGCACGAGGAGCGGCCTTCGAATCGTCGTCTTCGATTTCCTTGATCGCAAAAAAACAAGAAAACTCGGTTTATGACCCGGAGCTAAAGCGGTACGCTAGAGGCGTGACTATTCGATCTCCTTCCCAGCACGGATGAAAAACCAACGTTTGTTTCCACCCATAAAGAGATGAGAGAGCCCTGCTGCAATGGTGGATCTCTTGCGACGTGAGCCCAAGTTCGCCGTGCTGAAAGTGAACGCAATTCACTGAATATGGTGGTAAAAATGTAGCGACCACCTTGGTCGCGTGGCGCCGTCACGAAACGCTGAAGACGTTATGCTGATCCGCCACTTTTCGGATCCTGAATACTAGCAGGAATGAAGCACGAATCAACTTCTAAATATACTTTTTATATGGGTGATCTTCACACAAGTCGTTTATTCGTTGTATAGCATTATTTCTTGTATACATCGTCCAGTATACATGTCGTCCTCTTGCCAGCGGAAGAGAGGTATACTGAGCGAGTTTCAAATACACCTTAAAACGTGCTCCTTTGAGGTGTTTCCAGTCGCATCAAAACACATACACTGAATGGGGAATCTGCTAATGATGGGAGGACTCCGATGACTCTAGGTGTTGTCGAAGGCATTTCTCGCGGCCGTTGTGAGCGGAAATTTTCCCCTGGCGCAGGTGTTGTTAACGTCGTCATGATGGACGTTGTAAATCAAAATACAAAATGTTGTGTGGGCTTTCAGTATGCTCCTCACCTAAAAGTGAGAAAAAACGAGAAAGAATTTGTGCTGAACGAGCGAATAAATAACGCAGTTTTCTTAAGGTATTTTTGACACCACAAACTTATATTCTTATACAAACAAAAAATAGAAAATGCTTTCCAGACACTACGTTTGAAATCTGAAAGCTCAAATTTGCATTATCGCCCGAATTGATTTTGATTTCAGGTTTGAAGTATCTGTTCGCGTCAATAATGTATATGACTACATGGCGCAGTACTTTTTGTTAAATTCGTTCTAGTCCTGGAAGCGACAGTGTCGTAATCTTTCATTCTCGTGGATCACGCGCACGAGCTTGCTCATACATTTTGAGAAGCGTTTAAGTTTTTGTAGATGTATATGTTATCGTGATAGTGCGCACGTTTTCTGTGTTGCAGCTAGAAAACACCTGTGACCAAGGCACGGTGCAGAAACATTTAGGTGATGAGTCTGTGTCCGACATGGCGACCACATTATGTTCGGCGCACCGAGCGCTTCACTCGCACGGGCATAGATGGCGCCAAGCATAGGATCCCTCTCAAACCGACCGCTCCAGTAGTTTCCCCCAGCGGTGGTCCCGAATTCTCTCGGTCAACACTTTTTGTTGTACCTCACTGCCGCCACCAAGGTCGCCAGAGTCCGTAAATTTGTGTTCTCTCCCTTCTTCCTCTTATTCTGGTTAAGGCTCACCTTCGTGCACGATGGTGGCACCTGTGATCGACACAGCACCAAGCAAAACACGAACCCGGCCACTGGCCGCACACCACCACCCCACCACCACACCGCAAAAAAGCCGAGCAGGCTACGCCACCAACACCTTGGCCACCGAGGAGAGACCTCATACCTCAGCACCCTCCACGGCGGTGCGGAACAAACTACTCCTGGTTCGAGGCTAGCTCCGAACACGATCTGGTCGCTCGCTCCCCGAAAAAATGAGCGGCCTGAGTCATCACCTAAATGTGTTTCTTCCACCGTGGACGAAGGCAAGTTGGAAGAGAGAATGTAGCTGAGATCTGTTCGCGAGTTCAAAGGCGTTGCGTCCTTGGAGTCGCGCGAGGGGCTATACGACGTGCAGATCCCTCTGCTGTTCGAGCACCTCGCTCGTTTCTCTACCCGCCAAACACGCATCCCTTAGTGAAAACTCTTGTTCAAATAGTTTCAGATGATTTATTCCATCCCGTCGTGTCGAGATACAACCTTCCGTCACCACCGCCCGGATCTAGCCTAGCCAAAAACCCCTTTTTCGGCTTATTTATCACCTTGTTCCATCCGCTAGCAACATCAACCTCATGACCGCTTGAGCTCGCTTCTGATAACCACTGATAGCATACCTACCAGTCATGCACCCCTAAGCGTGGCATGACATGTCTATCCTTCATCTGAAACCCTTTTTTTTACACATTCTTAGGATAACAGAGGCCTACATACACAGCATGTAGTACACAAATCATGATACATAGTGGAAGGCACCCGAATGACGAGGAAAATAAACAGTAGTTACAAAAACAGAGTCACTTCACACTCTTTTTTTTCCAACAAATAGGATACATATAGTAGAAGAGACCCGAATAACGGGTAAAATAAACGACAGTTACAAAAACCGCGTCACTTTGCACTTTGAACAACCCGACTGTTTCGTCTCGCTACAGCCCCAAAATGATCAGTCCCGACCCAGTCGGGATAGGGCGTCTGCCGGCACATTTTTGGTCCCCTTCACATTTTCTATCTGTAGACTATACTTTTGCAGGGAAAATGCCCAGCGTGTTAATCGTGCGCTGTTTGGAGGCAATGTTCCTACGTACCGCAATGGATTGTGATCAGAGCGAACTAAAATTTCCAATCTGAACAACCAAGTTTCCAACTGTTCTAGTGCCCACACAATTGCAAATGCTTCTCTCTCGGTTGTTGACCACCTACTCTGTGTACCACTCAACTTTCGGCTCAAGGACGAAACCGGCCCTTCTTTCCCGCCGTCGCTCTTCTGCGATAAGCACGCGGCGGAAGCTCTTTCCGACGCGTCTGTCGACAAAATAAACCTCCGCGTTAAAGATGGGGCTGCAAGTTTCGGCAGTTCCATCAATTTCTTCTTCGCCGTTTCAAAGGCGTCTTTTTCTTTTTCAGCCCATGGGAGTGCATTCGATGCTTCCTTTCTCGTCAACACTGTCAGTGGAAGCACTATCTCTGAATACCCTTCAATATAATCTCCATAATAGTTAATCAATCTTAAGAGACTCCTCAACTGTTTTTTGTTCTCTGGCAGTCTTAAGTTCTGAATCGCGGCAACCCTTTCTGGGTCTAGTGCGTAAAATCCAGAGCCTATTTCATGGCCTAGGTACTTTACTCTGCCTTGCTCGAACCGACATTTCTCCAGGTTGATTGTAAGCCCGGTAGCTTCTAATGTGGCTAGCACCTTGCCAAGCTGTTCCACGTGTTCTTGGCAACTGCTAGAAAAAACTGCGATGTCATCAATGTGTGCGCAGGCATACAGTGCATGAGGTCTTAACACCTCGTTCATTGCTCTTTGGAACGTCGCTGCTGAATGTTTAAGCCCATATGGCATTACAGTCCACGCGTACTGGCCTTGATCAGTTTACGAACGCGGTAGAGTGCTCAGACTTTTTTCTATTTTAATTTGCCAGTACCCTCTGGTTAGGTCCAAGTCCGAGATGAATTGGGCTTTTGCTACGCGCCACAACAGTTCTTTTACGTTTTGCATTGGAAAGACGTCTGTTTCAGTTACCGAGTTTAATGGCCTATAATCTATACACAACCTAACTTTCCCATCTTTCTTGGCGACACATACAACCGGATGTGCAAAAATGGACTCTTTTGGATAGATCAGTCCCCAACCTATCAATTATTGTATCTGATGATCCACTTCTTCTCGAAGTTTCATGGGGACCCGGTAGGGATAGATCCCTTTCATTGTAGCATTTTCGATCAGCGTTATTTTGTGCCGTCCCATCGCGCTCCTTCCTGGCGTATTTGAAAATGCCGCTTTCCGTTTGCCTCTGTCCCTCACTCAAGTTCGTTAGCTGGATACCCGTCTGACTTACCGTGCTACTTTGATTTTCTTTTCCGTCACATGGGGTCTCCTCCAAGCTCCCAAAGTACCGATCTTCAAAAATCACCCCCACAGCGTTTGTTCTTGCATAGTAGGGACGCAACTTATTCGCATGTACCCACTTCCTCTGTCCTCCATTTAGCTCAACAACGTAGCTGTTGTCCCTCTTCCGTTCAACAATCGTTATCGGACCCACCCACCTGGCCTTCATTTTGCTTGTAGCTTCTGTGTTTAACATTAGCACCACTTGTTTTTGGAATGACTTTGGTACTGCCCTTAGGTTGTACTGTGTGGCATATGCCCGTTGCTGCCCCTGTGCCCGTTCGTCTGCTATTTTTCCAAGACTCATCATTTGCCTCCTCGGGTTCAGGAGATATTTTTCTACGCCTTGATTTAACGTCACCGGGAAGGGGGGTCCATTCTTACGTCCAGGATTTTCTAAGAATAGCCAGAGGACCACTAGGGACACGACCATACATTAACTCGAATGGCGACACCCCTGTCGTTTCGCTTGGTACTTCTCGGTATGCCCACAGCAGGCAGGGTACATACCTGTCCCATCCTCTTCCCATGTTCAGCAATTACCTGTCTCAACATTCCCTTGAACGTTTGGTTCCGTGGTTCTACCAAACCATTACTCTCGTGACCGCTTGAGCTCGCTTCTGATAACCACTGATAGCACACCTACCAGTCATGCACGCCTAAGCGTGGCATGGCACCCTTTGCCTCAACGACAACGTAAGATATGTAGATAAATGTGGACACTGCACGCGTCACCGCTGGAAGATAAAGGCCTTTCCTTGGTTGCAAGCGGCGACACCGGATGGCTCCTCAATATGCGGCAAATGTGAGCCTGTCGCGGTCCCGGTTTTGCACGCTTCTCCATGGGAAACATGCTTGAGTTTTTGTAAAGTTGTTTACGGAGTACGCCACATTATGTAAAACTTGGCGCTTGCACTACGCTTGTCACTTAGATACTGTTTCGTCATTGACCCTAGCTTCGTGCCTCAACGGGGGCAGTAATTGTTGTATGAACGGATTGAAGCGAAGAGCTTCTGGCCCGGTGTTCAAGCCAGCGTTCGTCGCGGTCGAAACGTCACAACGGACCGTTCCCAGTGTGTGTGTTTCAGTGGCAGGTCTCAAACACGTTTGAGCAAAGTGAAGCGGTAAAGAAAATTTAGCAGAACCTCGTCAGCAACTCGAAAGCGCGGGGCGCCGTTTGCGTTGCTCAAAGGGCCTATACGACGCGCAAGTTCGTCTGCTCCTTGCACATCGGGTGCGCTTCTGCACCCGCCCAATATGGCCGCGCGCTCTTGTTTCCCCTCGACCTCATCCAATTGACGGCGCACGCTTGACTGCCTCGTAATCGCGCGTTTTCAGGGCGTTCTTTATGTTGCCCTCTGATTGGCTATCCACACCTTGCGTTCCAACGCGCCAAAGAGGCATTTTGGAACGCTTGCTCATCGCGTTCTGGACAATACTGTTTGAATATCGTGTTACACATACCTTCAAAAGATGAACCATAGCCTCCTTTATACTCACAAAGCCTGGCAGTTCGACGATGGAGCCATTAAGTGCCCGGTCGTAGATTTGGAGCGCGAAGATCAGGTAGCACAAAACATAAAAGAGCCATTTTTCGGGGAACCTGTACGTCAGCGCACAGTTTCTCCAGCAGCGAGGACCCGAAACACACTTGTTCGCTCGGGAGAAGTGTGTTTCGGCGTCTCGCAGCAGCCGATCGCCAGTCACATGGCTCCCCTCTCATTCGTTGTCTGCCGCTTCACTTTTTTTCATTTTGGCAGCCGCTTCTCGTGGCGATCTGTCAGGCTTGGTCAGCATAGACCGTTGCAAAAAGAGCTCTCTTGCCGCCGCCATTTTGCGAACCGAGCGACCCCTATCGGCCAGACATTTCTGCCACCCGCCTGAGCTGTGGAAACCCGGTCAGCGTGACTTCCCACCAGCATTGTGCATTCGGAGTTCGCCGACTTTTCTTGGAAGTTTTTGCTTTAATTGACTGTTTAGGATGCTTACCCTTTGTGTGTTATCTTCCACTGTGAGAACCAGGGAATACCAGGGCTCGTGGCCTGCTCGGCCTCCGCAGAACACGAACAAAAAGATCGAACGTCAAGCAGCCCGCGACGCGGGCAGTTCAACGTTTCTTAGGAATTTTAAAGTCCTATACGGTCCGGTTAACTCGCCACGTCTCACCTAATTAGACCCATATGTGAGGTTTCACATAGCGTCATCAACAAGGAGCCACCATGACCAAAAAAATTCACCGTTTTATGCACGTACCGACATGTTTAAATACATCTTGCTTCCTAGATCAATCAAACGTTGGAATCTGCTACCCGGCAACATCTCTTCATTACCTCCAGACGAGTGTCTGTGTGCGGTTGACAGTGGTTGACCTAATTTTACAACGTTTTATGTTTTTTTCTGTCTTATCTAATATTAAATGTCATTCTCTATTACTCCTGAAATAGCACCGACGGGGCTGCAGTTCCTTGATGCAGTCGTTCCGCCATTGTGCAGGGGTTTCGACCTTCTAATAATCGGGGCGTGCGTTTCGGAAGGGGTCTATTGCGATGACTCGTGGTTGCAGACTGTCTTTTGTGCGATGGAGCTGTGACCCCGGCTGAATGCTGCAATCACGCCGGTATTCGAATCGCAACCTCGACGCGAATCCGCTCGTTTTCATCATCGAACGCGCTTGAAACTGCACTGAACAAAAAGCCCCGAAAAGACCTTCCTACAAGTAGCAACATTCTTTGATGCGCTGACTGCGTGACGGTACAGGTGTTAGGAAGCCGGAAGCGAATGGGCGGCGAACAGCAGAGGTTTGAACCGAATGACGCCATTTTGTTCCAGCGGAATTGAATTTGTCATTTGGGTTGGCTGTCGTGACTTCTAAAAGTAGTATCCGACCAGATAATAACCGCTTCGCGATTGCGGTTAAACCGTCTGTGTAAATGAGGCGCAAGTATGACACGCAGCCCACACTGCACGACTCAACAAAGCCAATCAAAGCAGCGCCCAAAATTGCACTGTCACGGCGTTGGTCCTTATTGCGTCTCCGCTGTCACCGGCTACAAACCAATCACTCGCAGCGTAGGCTGAATGACTCTGCGCTTTTAACGCCGAATGTTTTTATGGATCGTTCTCTACGATGCAACTGTCAGGAGAGACCGTCACGAACGAGCGACACGCCGGAAGCTCTACGCAATTATTTTTTTTTTTTTTTTTTTTTATGCAAACCAAGTTTTCTTTTTTTTTTTTTTTGATAAATTCACCGGGGAAAGATAAAGAAAAACTTAAAATTACTGTAAAAAAAAAAAGAAAAAGATAATAAAAATAGTGCCTTTCTGGGGTTTGTGCAGGGCACAGTATGCGCCCCTAGTCTTTGTCAGCACGATAAATCTAGCGTAATTTTTCATCCGCGTGATTGGTTTGGCCGCTGGCAGCAGACGCGCAAAAGCGAACAGCGCCATGACGCCGCACTTTTGGACCTGCTTGATTATGTAGCACTTAGATTAAAACAAAGTATAGCAAAAAAAAAAAAAGAAAACTCATTTTAAATGCATGTTGACCCTATATTTCACCCAAACAATCCGGCCGTACGTTTTGTTATCAACGTTGTTACTCTCGCGGTTCATACCTTTGTGGCAATCGTGGTCGGGTTATCGAATCCGTAGAAGTTCGACCTGACGACGCTGTATAAAGCCATTGCCGTGGGGTCGAGCACTGGCGATGTGTTGCATATATCCTAGAAAGATAAAAGCGTAGCAGTTAGTACTGACGCGGAACGATAGCTTAGCTCGAGCATGGGCAGCTCCGTGCAAACTAATTGATAATCGTTCTACTTCTCAGAGCGATCGGCATTCCACTCTGCACGTGCATGAAGTGTATTTTTGTTTTGTAGCGTTAGCTACACTGGCCGAGGTTGAGCAGTTTCGCGTGTCTCCCAAAGAGCCGTGCTGCGCATGCGCGAGAAGCAGTGACGTCAAACGGCGGACAACAGGCGCGCCGGAGCCGCCGCCGACGCGCGCTTTTTTCCGCCGTCGCAAAGCGCTCCTCGCCGGTCTGCGACTTCCAGAGGAGTGACGTCATAGCCGCGGCAGACGCACTGGCGCCACCACGTGCCCAGCTGTGCGCCTCCCTTACGCAGTAGCCATATCTAACGCTGCACCGGAGCCGTTTGATAGCACCTCTAATTTTGTGTGCATAAGCTGACGCTAAGTATATCCTAGCATAGCCGAGCTAAGCCACCGCGAATTTTGCATTATTTTTTGGGAAGGCACAACATTAAAGAAAGAGTACTAGAATATGTAAAGCAAGTTTTCTCGGAATAATTTCTACAGTTACAGAGTTCGTTAGGTGCAGACAGACGCTTAATTTAGTATACAAACTACTAAACATAATACAATTTTCTTTTCTTTAGATATTTGTCTTAGCTAGCAGGACCATACAAGCCAGTGATTTGTAAAGGCTCTTACCAACGATTGCGTTTGAGAGCGTTTGAGTGCGCTTGGCTGCGTTGCGGCTGCGAGAAACCGGAACCTCTCTGCTACATATGTCGCGTGCCAAGCTACTCCTTGAGTTGGATTCCGCGCTTCATGCGAAGCACAGATGTGCTGCCGGTGACTCGCTTCCGTTCCTTGACGCTGCGCAGTCAAACGAACTCAAGCGCAAATGTTCGTTTGGGCCTTAAGACGTATTTAAAATAGTTTGTTCATGGGAGGCAAGCTGCTACAGATAAAGCAGTAGCTCACTTTTTGTACGGCCACAGAGGAAAGATTCTTTACTGGGTCCCCTGGTTTTTCCAACAGTGCACCGTCCGACCCTTTGAAAACACTCGCAGTGAGCATGGCGCAAAACTTGAACTTGCTCACATCCCCGCTAAGACTCGCTAAGGACTTGTCCTGAAAGTGAAAGTACGTGGCGTCAAAGCAAGAGAGCACAGAAAAGAGACGGGGGGAGGGAGAGGGGCGGGTCGCCCCCCTTCCCTCTACACGCACACGCACCGAACGGAGTCAACAACTATAGTTCTCGCGCTGAACTCGATCAGCTGGCGCAGACACATGCATAAGAACACAAGGAATGCCGTCATCCAACGCTTCTCAAAAAGGTTGTTTGGGCCCACGTGTTCCTGGTATTGCTCGCGCACGGACTTGGGATGAAACGAAGGATAGTAACGATTGCGAGAAAGGGTATAAGTGCTTGAATCTAATTCATGCGGAAAACCGCCTCAATAAAAACAAAACAAAAACATATACGTTTTATTTTTGGGTCAAAAATAGACACTTCAAACGGAAACGTTTAGCGGTACGCAATACCTTCCAGTTGCATTGCGAACTCTCAATTGACGGCGCAGTTTAATGGATCAGAAATGAAATGTTTCCTGTACCAGATCATCTTTCGGGTTGGGAAGCGTGGCTACTTTTGGAGTTATATTTTCAGCCTCGAGCGGGGTAACGTGCATTACGACAAAGGTTGCATTCTGTATTCTGAAATAAAAAAGAGAAAATTATAAACTTTGTTGCAGGTCAGACGGTTCGCTCGCTTACCAGCGCAGCGTGGGATGCCGCTGCACCTCGGCAATTTTAACGCGTGTATATGTACAGTAATGAGGCGGGAAGGTGGCTCATATGTTCATCAGTACGACCTTCTCAATTCAAAAGTCGTCGAAAGCAAGCGAGCGAAATTGTAGCCGTTAAACGTTAGATTCTTTCGCATTTTTATTTTTGATTTGCGGACGAAATGATGCAAAATCGATCGATTGATCGGCGTTTCACGGCAGGAGAGCTACAAGGACCGAAATGTACCAAGTAGCTCCAATATTGCTAGAAACGTAAGGAGAGACAGATGCATGACATAGCTGTTGGTGTAATAAGGCCATGAGAATTACCGCGAGTTTCGCACATACATAAAATGCGAAATTGCTACGAGCGTGTATGGTGAAAAAGCAGCCTGACCATACTGTTCCAAGGAGTGATTCAAGTTGTCTATAATAGAAGGAACAGAGTTGGTAAAAAAAAAAAAAAAGAGTATAAGAATGGCAGTGCCTCTCTCGCTTTCGCTCCTCGCTTTTCGTCGTGCTTTGACAGTGCCTGCACACGCGAGGCCCATGAGACGCCAAAGCGTTATCTAACTGGAACTCGTCCCTGCCGTTCTCATCCTGGCCGTGACTATACGGAGAGAAACAAAGGGAGAGGAGGAGAGGAGAGCGCGGAGGAACATCTGAGCGCCGAGCTCTGCGACGAACGGCTAGGGGGTAGGTGCGAAGGCTGGCTGTCTTCGTCACTACTCACGTTTCGAACGCGTTCGAACGCTGAACGCTGGCGTCCGGCGTTCGAACGCGAGACACTGCGCGAACTGCCGGCGTAGGCTAAAGGCATTTAAGACTTCTTACGGTTATGCAAGCGAAAGCATTCCTACACGCAGCGCATTTTTACAAGCAGCGCGCCACATCTTCCTCTTTCACAAGTCGCCCCGGCGGTGACATCCAGCTCCACCACCTCGCAGGCTCGGCGAACCCCGCCGGCTCCACGCCTTCCGCGACGATGAATCTGCGTTGCTGTGCTCTTCTTTGTGTTTTATTTCTGAGCCGCGTCCGCTTAGACCTTGAGCGCCCCGATGGCTTCCGTTACGAAGAAAGTGCGTTGCTGTGCTTTGGGTCAATGGGAATTTAACTGCCGTTTCGCTGCTCCAGATGGTTACAGACACGCTGGCTTCGCTCCGTGGGACAGTTGATGCTTTCGCCTTAAAAAAAAAAAAAAATCTTTCTGTTCTTTGCGTGTTTTTTTTTTTTAATCGTAATGAAACATTTATTGCCTTTTATACGAACGGAAAAACTCGAGAGACCGGGAAAGAAAATATTGTCAACGTTTATGTGAATGCTCTTCTATATACAACCACCCAGCGCTTATCGTGCACTTGAGCGAAAAATGCCGACCCACTGGGGCTGTGGACGCGTCCGCGGACATCTGATATTTCGCCCAAGAGACATTCTGCGTGTGTCGAGAATGTGTGCTCACAGCCCAGAAGGAAATGATGGCAGCTTTGAGAGCGCGATTCCTGGAATGCTCTTTCCACTTAGCTTCACACTTAGTGCGACCGCAATATTAGGCTACGATCCAAAAAAAGCCATTCAAGCAGCGCCAAAAAAAAAAAAAAAGTTATATATCCCGGTGGCGCTATTATTGCGGCTATCAACGTCTGAACCTTCCGCGCGCAGTGGAGGAGGAGGAGGAATAGACTTTATTATAACTTGAGCAGACGAAAGCTTGTGGGTCGTCCCCAGGTGGGTGGCTGCCTCAGTCCAGGATGCCATGGTCCCGCGCTGCCAGTCTGGCCCTGTTCACCAGTCGGGACTGGTCCTCAGGTTTTGAGCTGGTCAGCTGGTCCTCCCACTGCTCCGCGGTTGGTCGGGAAATGGGGGGTATGGAGGTGTTGTGCTTGCACTCCCATACCATATGGTAGAGAGTGTTAGGCACTCGACAGTTTTTACAGTCGTAGTCATATTGAGTTGGGTACATTGCGTGAAATAATGTGCCGTGCGGGAAAGTGTTAGTTTGTAGCTGTCTAAGTGTCACGGCGTCCTCTCTGGATATTGTAGGGTGTGGGGGAGGGTAGGTTCTCCTTCCTAGTCTGTAATGCGCTAGAATGTCGGTGCATCTTTTTGGAACGCCCTCGTCTGTATCCGCTGGAACACGGTCGCCCAGCGAGGTAGCCCGGAGAGAGTGTTCTCGGGCAGCGGCATGCGCCGCTAGATTACCCGCTAGGGTTTCATGTCCTGGGGTCCAGACTATGACCACTCGGGGGGATCTTCGATTTTTTTTAACGTTTCGAGGGCCAGTCGTGATATTCGGCCTAGTTGGTAATTTCTGCAGGCGGCTTATGAGTCTGTTATTACCGTGAGGAGTTCCTTGCCTGTCGTCGCCGCAAGAGCGATTGCTGTCTCCTCTGCTGAGTCCGTGTCTGGGGTCCTCACGGAGGCCGCCGCGATTTCTTCTCCCTTGTTGTTTACCACGCTAATCGCGTGTGCTTTCTTTCCCTTGTATTTCGCTGCGTCTGTGTACCGCACGCGGTCATCGTCTCTCTCGTAGGTCTTTCTCAGTGCTCTCACTCTTGCCATTCGTCGTTCTTTGTTGTGTTCTGGATGCATGTTGCGAGGAATGGATGCAACTGTGATATTGTCTCTTAGTTGTAATGGAATCCTTTGCTTACTTCTTGACTCGTCTTCGATTGCGTAGCCCAGTCTTCTTAAGGTGTCCCTGCCCGTCCTGGTGAGCTTAAGTCTTTCAACCTGGCTCACCTTGTGTGTTTCTGCCAGCTCTTCCCATGTGTTATGTATACCCAATCGGAGTAGTTTCTCTGTGGAGGTTGTTGGGGAAAGCCCCAAGGCCAGTTTGTATGTCTTGCGAATGAGTGTGTTAATCTTCTCGCGCTCGCTGTTTTTGAGCCCCAGATACGGGGTCCCGTACGTTATTCTGCTGATGACGAGTGCTTGAATGATTCTCAAAGTGTCTTGCTCCTTGAGGCCGTGGTTTCTGTTTGTTACCCGTTTTAATAGGTGCGTAACTTGTGTGACTGTTTCTTGGAGTTTTTGCACTGTGGCGATCCCTGCACCATCCTTCTGAAATACTACTCCCAGGACACGGAGCACGTCGACTTGTGGGATGTTATCTTCGTGTAGGGTTAGTACGGGGTCTGGTGTTTCCGGTGGAGGACGACCTCTCGCCCTCTTTTTTAGCACCAAAAGTTGCGATTTATCCGGAGCGCACGAGAGACCACAATCTTTCAAATATCTCTCGGTCCTGTTCACCGCTTCTTGCAGAGCGTCTTGCTGCATTCCTGCCGACCCCGACGTCGTCCATATGGTAAGGTCGTCCGCGTAGATTGCATGGCTGAGACCTTTAATGTCTTTTAGAAGGAGCGGTAGACCCCTCATTGCAATATTGAAAAGCAACGGTGAGATCACCGATCCCTGAGGGGTTCCCTTTTGTGGAGCCTTGATCTGTTCGGTCCTTAGGTTTCCCAGGCCTATGGTCGCTGTCCGGTCTGTGAGAAAGTCACGGACGAAATTGTAAGTCTTTTGGCCGCAGTTTGTCCTTTGTAAGCTGTCTAGCACCGCACTGTGGGAGATGTTGTCAAACGCCCCTTTGACGTCCAATGCTAGAATTGCGCTCTTGTGCTGCCTGCTGAGGTTGTCTATTACATCCTCTTTGAGTTGAAGAAGGATGTCTTGGGTCGATAGAAGAGGTCTGAATCCAAACATCGTGTTAGGGAGGAATTCGTTCTCCTCGAGATACGGGGATAGTCTGTTGTGTACCATGTGCTCGAATAGCTTCCCCACACACGATGTGAGGGATATTGGTCTCAGGTTCTGCACAGTGATCGGTTTGCCCGGTTTTGGGATCATTGTCACATCCGCGTGTTTCCAGCATGCCGGTATCTTCCCGGTCTCCCAGCTCTCATTGATGTGCTTAAGGAGACACTCCGTGGCTCTGTCGTCCAGGTTACGGAGCGTCTTGTTGTTAACTCTGTCCCTTCCTGGGGTCGTGTTTCTCGTCAAGTTCCTGAGCGCCGCCACTATCTCTGCCCTGCTGAAGGGTTGATCCAACTCTGGGTTAGATTTTTCCTCGTAGTCCAGGTGAGTGATCGTCGTCGTCTGTTGTTGTTGGTTGCCAATGTATTTTTCAGTGATGGCTTGGAGCACGTCTTCCTCTGAACCCTGATAGTTGTGGATGAGGCGTTGAATATGTTGGCACGTGACCTTCTTTGACTCCGTCTTTGCCAGCAGCGACCTAAGTATTGCCCATGTTTTGCGATTGCTCAGGGTACCCTGTAGCCGGTCGCATAGCTGATTCCAGTTTTGTATTCCGAGTTTCTCTGCGTACTCCTCAGCTTCCCTGGTCAACAGGGCAATGCGGACCTTGAGCTTGCGGTTTCTCTTTTGTTTCTTCCATCTTTTTAGGAGGCCCTGTCGGGCCTCCCAGAGGTGGAGTAAGTGCGGGTCAACTTCGGGGTTGTCCGAAGTGAGTTGTATCGTCTTGGTGTGCTTGGTTACCTCTTCCATCACTTGCCTGGTCCATTCTTCAATATCGTCCATGTCCGCTGGGTGTTCCACCTTTCGGAACGCGGTCCAGTCCGTGATCTTCGCTTGTCCCGTTCTCAATGGAGTCTTGTTGTGTCGGAGTTCGGTTTGAATTATATAGTGATCGCTTCCTAGGGTTTCTTCCAGCCTCGTCCATTCAATTTGCCGTATGCCCTTCGAGAAAGTTAAGTCGGGGCTTGTGTCCCTGGAGATGCTGTTTCCAATCCTGGTTGGACACTGAGGGTCGTTCCACAGCGTCAGTTGGTGGTGCTGAGCCGCGTTGTGCACATCCGTGCCCTTCTTGTTGGTTTTGTGGTATCCCCACGCTACATGCGGTGCGTTGAAGTCCCCAACTACGAGTATCTTCTGCCCTTTGGTAACTT